CATGAGTGTGGTGCAGCATCTCCTGTCATGGTCACCAATACCTTTAACCCTCTCCACGACTCCTGTTTTGCAGACACTGGCCACTGCTGTTATCTCACAGTGGCAGAAAGATGAACTGAGGGAGGCTGTTAAAGCACTGAAGAAAGTTATGGATGACCTGGACCGAGCAAGCAAAGCTGACATTCAGAAACGAGTGAGCCCTGAAGGGAATAAAGGACAGTGCAGGAGGGCTGCAGAGGGCTGCTTTGGAAGCTCCACTTGTGTCCGGTGTGGAAGGGAACCAAGCTATGGGAATGTTCCTCATGCATTTCAGCCTTCCAGCTTATTCCAGAGCATGGCTGCCTCCATGCCTGTTTCCTGGGTTGAAATGCAGTGTTAGTCTTGGTATCTGGGGTGTTTCTGCCTTAGCAGTGCCCCTGGGGGCAGGGTTTCTCCTGGATCCCATCGGATTTTCCTGGAGGAGGGCTCAGAAACAGCACTGCTGCTGCCTTGCAGGCCACACACCCTGCCTCCCAGCATGAAGCTGCTCCAGGCTGGGCTGTGGTGTGTTTGGGCACCTTGGGAGTCTCTGTACTTTCAGGGAAGTTACACCTTCACCCAGGTGGTTCTTGTGTGCATACACCATGTGTGTGCTGCAGCATCTGACCACTGTTGTCCTCAGGTGCTGGAGAAGACCAAGCAAGTCATTGAGAGTCACCCTAACCAGCCACTGGTCATCATGGAAATGGAAAATGGAGCCTCAGCAAAGGTAAGGGAAGGTCTGATCACTCCTCAATGACCTTCCTCATGCCTGAGGAGCAGTTGGGTGATCTCTGCTCCCTGGGGGAAGGGTGGTGCTGTGTTACAGAGCTGGCGCTCTTGCTACCTGCCAGCCCTGAGCAGTGACAAGAGGGAAGTTACACGGGGGCTGTGGCATGGGGGACTCTTGGCCACTGGCTGAGCTTCCATACCTGATGGTGGGCAGGGACCCCAATAGAAACGGCACTGTGCCCTTGCTTATCCAACAGCCCTTACAACAACAGGAGGGCTTAAGGAACTCTGAGCTGAAGCTCTGCGAAGCCACAGATGCCCTGCTGGATGTGGCTGTTGCGCATCAGCTGTGGGAGTGGTGTCCTAGGTTGAGCATGTGCTCCCACCTCCTGGGCATTGCCTGCTGCAGCAGAGCTCCAGTTCTTTCCAGCGAGGGCTGAAATTGCTGCTTCTGTCCTCCTTGCTGAAGAGGCTGATGGTGCCCTGAGGTTGGACTACTCTGGTTTTCATGCCCTTGCTCTCTGTAGCCATCCCCATCTCTATGGTTTCAGTGCATCATTCTCCCTGGCAGAAGGGTGTATCCCATCGACGGTGGTGCTGTGAGCCCCAGCTAGAGCAGCACTGCTTTGCCTTTGGAGGGCCCGGCCCTGAAGCTCGGTGCAGCATCGTGTCTGTCTGCGCTAGATCTCCCTGGGATGGATAATGGGATGCATGGGTCCCCCCGGGCTCTGCAGTGTGCCTGCTGTGCTGACCAACCCTTGCAGCTTCTTCACACTGCATTTGAGTCCTCCAGACCTGCTGCAGAGCAGCTGCTCCCTCCTCTGGGAGCCACTTTCCAGGACACAGTGTTTTTCCCTCCAGCCTTGGCATTAATTCCGCCAGCTCCCAGATAACTGAAGATGGGAAAATGAAAACAGTTCCTTGCAGTAGTGAGGGGCCACAAGCCCTGGCTGTGTCTCCTGCCCCAGCTTCTGCCCAGCAGGGATGTGAGGGTCTCTTGTGTTGGAGAAAAGGAATACTGCAGGACACTGCTGGCTGGTTAAATGCAAGTCCAGAGCCCTGAGGTCTCCATGGAGGCTGGAGCCAGGGTGGGAGTGCAGGGAAGGTGTGCTGTAGGGATTGTGAGTCAGAGGAGGCCACGGAGATGCTGTGAGGGCTGGGGCAGCTCTGTTCTGGAGCCAGGCTGAGAGAGCTGGGCTGGTTCAGCCTGGAGAAGAGACGGCTCCTTAAGGGAAGACCTTAGAGCCGCTCCAGTGCCTGAAGGGGATACAAGAAACCTGGAGAGGGGCTTGGGACAAGGGCCTGTAGGGACAGGACAAGGGGAATGGCTTTAATCTGCCAGAGGGGAGACTGAGTTGAGCTCTTGGGCAGAAGCTCTTCCCTGTGAGGGTGGTTAGGTCGTGGCACAGGGTGCCCAGAGAAGCTTCGGCTACCCGGTCCCTGGCAGTGTTCAAGGCCAGGTTGGACACAGGGGCTTGGAGCAACCTGGTCTAGTGGAAGGTGTCCGTGCCTGTGGCAAGGGGGTGGAACTGGATGAGATTTGAGGTCCCTGCCAGCACAAACCAGGCTGGGATTCTGTGATTTTGTTCTACAGGCCCTGAATGAATCTCTGAAGCTCTTCAAGACTTACTCCCCCCAGACTGCCACCATGCTCTTCACTGTAGATAATGAAGCTGGCAGAATCACCTGCCTCTGTCAAGTGCCCCAGGTAACGCTGAGACACTTGTCTCTGCCTTCCCTGTTACTCAGTGGAGGATGCACAGCCTCCAGGCTGTCACTGTCTAACGCTACACAGCCAAAACTCTTGTGGGTTTGGCAAGAGCCACAACCCGTGTGCTTCGGGTTTGTTGCCAGGCTGCAGAAGACGGGGAGGTGCGATTTGGGGAGGGGAGGAGCCAGGCCTAATGTGGTTGTGGGCATGGCAAAGCTTTTGGGGGCTGTGGAGGTGGAAGAGCCTTTCCCTGTGGCATCGTGCTCACGGTTGCCCTTCTCTCACTGCTGGCGGGGTTAAGGTTTAACTCCCTTCATTTTTCTTTCTTTTTTCCTGCACAGGAGACTGCAAATAAAGGCTTGAAGGCCAGCCAGTGGGTGCAGGAGGTGTCGGGCCTGATGGACGGCAAAGGCGGGGGAAAGGACGTCTCTGCGCAGGCCACGGGAAAGAACGTGGGGTGCCTGCGGGAGGCCCTACAGCTCGCCACGGACTTTGCCAGGCTTCGGCTGGGCGAGCAGAAGAACTGAGCAGGGAGGAGGCTCCCCGGGCCCCACTCAGCACCCCATGCCCTCCCCCTCCTCCCTGCTGCCCACGTTTCCTCCCAATAAACGCTACGCGCCCGAGGGCTGCCGGTTACCGTCTGCTTTGGGGGGGCGGAGCGGGCTGGGCTCCTCCTCTTCCTGCTGCGGCTCGCGTTGCGTGGCGGTCATGCCGGTGGATCACCGCCGCCTGTGCGGCCCGGAGGAGTCGCGTGCGCCGGCGCTGTGGGCTGCGGTCTGCGGGGCGGCTGTAGCGGCGGAGGATGGTGAGGAGGAAGGTGGGGATGAACCCCCGCGGGACCCCTGGGCCCTGCGGCCGCTTTTCGCTCGGGCCGCGGTGCTGAGCCAGGCCGACGGCTCGGCCTACGTGGAGCTGAGCGGCGGCACGAAGATTCTCTGCGCCGCATGGGGCCCGAGGGAGGCGCCCGAGCCCCCCACGGCGGCGGCAGCCGCGGCGGCGCTGAGAATGGGGCGGCTGCAGTGCGACTTCCGCCGGGCGCCGTTCGCGAGCCGTGGGGCTCGGCGGCGGCCGGGCTCGACGGTGGAGCGGGACGCGGAGCGGGACTTTGCGGCGGCGCTGCGGGCTGCGCTGGAGCCCGCGTTGCAGCTCGAACGGTACCCGCGGACCCGGCTGTTGGTCAGCGTGCTGCTCCTGCAGGACGAAGGCTCCGTGCTGGCCGCCGCCATCAGCGCCGGGGCGCTGGCGCTGGCTGACTCCGGGGTGCAGATGTACGACCTGGCCGTGGGCTGCGCCCTGTGCCGCGGGCCCGATCCCTCCGCCTCCTGGGTGCTGCAGCCAGAGGAGGCCGAGGAGCGGCGGGCCGCGGTCCGGCTCACCGTGGCCCTGCTGCCGGCCCTCAACCAGGTATCGGCCGTGCAGGGCACCGGCAGCGGCAGCACGCCCGAGGACTGGGCAGAGGCGCTGTGCTTCGGCCTCGACGCTTGCTACCGCCTCTACCCGGTGCTGCGGCAGAGCCTGCTGCAGGCCACCGGCCGCCGCCGCGGCCGCCGCCGCCGTCGCCGTGCCACCGCTGCCAGCACTGCCTGAGCCCCCGGGGGCCCGCGCTGGGGATGGGGCTGTCGGCTGGAGCCCATCCAAGCTGCCCTCGGGGTTGCCAGAGATCCCTGGTGCCTGTCTGATCCACACCTCATGCTGCCAGAGACACCCTGAGCTGGCCCTTGAGCAGCCTGAGACCTCTCAGAGCTTCCCACACAGCCAGAGGCTCAAGAATCTTGCCCAGGGACACTGGAGCTTGTTGCAGGAGACCAGACACAGCTGGTTCTGCAGGACACAGACAGCCCCACACGCTGCTGGAGACCCCCAGAACCAGCCTCTGTGCTGCCCCACACTGCCAGACGCTGCCTGACACCTCCCTCCAAGCAGCTGCCTGCACCACAGGACCTTGCACTCATCCCGGAGCAGGCCCAGGACCAGGGCTGAGACCTTCCACCATGACCATCCACAGAAGTCAGGGTGCAGGCAGCATGGGGCAGGAGCCATGTGGTGGCACAGACTGCACATCCCTCGGACCTCCTGCAGCGCTTGGGGGTGGTGAAGATGTGTTTTGTTGGGTTCTTCTTAGAATAAATAAGCTTGTTCTTATAGGAGTCTTCTGCCTGCATGGCTCTGCTGAGGCCTCTGCCAGTGTGGGCAGAGGAAAGATGCACTCGTGACCAGCTGCCAGGCTTTGGGATCACCCTGCTCTGCTCCCAATGTCCTTCCTCAAGGGGGGGTGTTTGGGGCACTGCTTTGGGGTCTGGTTGTTCGTGGGAATGGGTGGATGCACTGGGCTGGTGGGGAATGTGCTGGTTTCCATTGAGAAACAGGCAGAGCTGTGCTCCTCCTGCCTCTGGGTTGAGCTGGGGAAGACAGCATCCCAGAGAGCCTCCAGAGTCAGGCAGCCACCCCAGATTGGATACAAAAAGCCACACATGTGGTTCAGACAGTTAAAAACTTCATGAGAGTCGAGTAACCAGAGAAAAGAAATACAAATTCTTTTTTTTTTCCAACACAATACACTCTTACCAGACAGAGCAAATCAGAAACACAGAACAAATTCCTACCAGTGAGAGAAGGGTGACCTAGGAACTGGGGACACCAGACTAAGATGGGGAGTGTGGGGAAGGGGTGGACTGTGACTTGGGTGCAGGCAAGGAGCCCTGGCAGACCTGCTGCTGCTGACCACAGATGTGACCAGTGGGCAAGAGCCATGTGAGAGCAGGGGCAACAGGGAGCAATTGGGTTTGCGTTGCCCTGCTGCTGGTGTTGGAGTTGGGCTCAGCACCAGCCTAAAATTCCACAAAAGCCCCTTGAGTGGTCTGCGGGTGGTCCCTTCTTCCTCCATTCCACAGTGGGATGCAGTGGCTCCTTCTTGGGCTGTACCTGTGCCTGCTGAACCTTTTCCTGGTGTGGATCTGCAGGGTGGGCTTGCCTTGGTGGGCAGGCTGGATGTGACCTGTGCCATAGGGGTTGGGACCCCTGGGGTGCTTTCTCTGCAGATTTCAGCACCCTGTGGGTGAGGAGATGCTGGCAGGCAGAGCAGCCAGGATTTGGGATGCTCCTTTGGGATAAGGTCGTTTTCTTCTTTTCTTTTTTCTCCTCCCTTCCCACCCCAGCCATGTCTTATCCCTAGGTGTGAAAACAGGAGGAAAAGAAAACCCAAGCACACTTGAACACAAAGAGTCCTCTGGCCGTGGCTGGGAGATGGAGCTGCTGGTGGCAGGGCATGGCTGTGCTCAGAGCAGGCACCTCCCCGGCATGTGTGGCATGAGCTGGAAGCCTCAAAAGAAGTAGGAACACAAGATGGAAAGGGAGGGAGGCCTTGGCATCCCAGTGTGCCTACTGGCTCCTCTCATGGTCCAACGTGAATTTTTACCTGCAAGGAGAAATGCAGAGCATGGCTGCCCTTTGATGTGTGCCAGCAGTGGGATCAGACCCCTGCAGCCAGCTGGGGGATGTGAGTATGGGAGCAGACGCTTGGAGAAAGGGGATTTGTACTCCAAAGGGGGTTTTGCAGCTGCTGCTGCTGAAGTAACACACACCGAGGGGGTGGCTGCAGGGGGCTTGGGGCTGTCCTGGAGACACGGGTGGTTGCACCCTGGCACACAGTCAGGACAGCTTGGGGGAACCTGATGGAGCATCAACTCTGCAACCAGGTATTCTCCACCAGGGCACAGGCTGCCAGCAAGCAGGGATGAATTTTAGGAGAGTAGACAGCACAGCGCAGGACAAGGGCCTGTAGGGACAGGACAATGGGGAATGGCTTTAACCTGACAGAGGGGAGACTGAGATGAGATCTTAGGCAGAAGTTCTTCCCTGTGAGGGTGCTGAGGCCCTGGCACAGGTTGCCCAGAGAAGCTGTGGCTGCCCCATCCCTGGCAGTGTTCAAAGCCAGGTTGGACGGGGCTTGGAGCAACCTGGTCTAGTGGAAGGTGTCTCTGTCCATGGCAGGGGGTTGAAACTGGGTGAGCTTTGAGGGCCCTTCCAACCCAAACCAGGCTGTGACCTGTCCCCACTCTCACCATCTCCTCTGTGTCTGTGCTCTCCTCTGTGCTGTCGATGTTGCGCAGGTCACTGTGCCCATCAGCTCCCCTCCCCTCCTGTCCCTGTGACCACTCTTCCACTGGGGATGGTGACTCTGGCCCTGTCTCTAACCTCTTCCTCTCACTCTCCTTGGACCCTGCAAGAACAGAGACAGTAGAAACTAGGGGTACCTGTGCAAACATCCACCCTCTCCCCATAGGGTCCCCTTGTGCCAAGGGGCTGGACCCTGTCGTCCCAGCCTGGGGAAGGGGGCTGGCACTAGGAATGTGCCACGTGGGTGCCGGAGGGTCTGTGGCCTGTCCCCTCACCTGCCAGCCACTCTCTCCGCTGGTCCATGTGATCCAGGCTCTCCAGCAGACTGTCCACCTGTGCCTTGATCTGGCATAGCTCCCCCTTGATGGAATGCAGCTCTTCAGCCTGCACTGCAGGGGAAGGAGCTGTTAGGATCCCACCTGATTCTGCAGCACACCTGGAACGAGGGGACACAGCCCTCGGCAGCCACCTCTGGAGCATCTTCCTCTTCAGAGCACCCTCCCCACCCAGCATCCCTGGGGAACATCCTTGGAACAGCTCCATCCTTGAGGAACAGAGACAGGTCCAGAGGACAGCCACCAGCCCAGGGCAGTCCAGCCTGTGTCTGCTGGAGCTGAGGACTCACAGGGGCAGCACTGAGTGGGACCTCTGGGCACCAGCAGTGCTCTAATGCACCGAAACATGAGGGCTGAGCCTCCTCTTCCTCCCAGTCCCATCACACTCACACTTTGTCCGTTCCACCATGGAGCTGGTGCTGCTCCTGGCCTTGCGCTGTGGACTTGGGCTGCTTTTTCCTCCTGTTCCCATGTGAGTTCGTCTGGTCTTGACTGGGATGCAATTAATAAGGGGAGGAATCTTCTGATACTCATACACCCTGCAAGGGCACAAAAGTACAGCTTTGGAGGAGCAGCAGCCCCTGCCAGACAAGAAAGCATCTCTCAGGGGCCCTCTGTGGTGAAGAACCCCTAACCTGGGCATTGCCCACCCCACACACTGCTCTTGCCCCGTGTGTTCACTTCCCAAAGCCTCCAGCCTAGGGATAAACACCACCAAGCCTCATGAAAGCAGGGTGATGGATGCCCATGGACCAAAGCCACATGTGCTCAGCACATCTCTCTCCTGGATGCTCACCGGTATGGGAAGTCATCCCTGCAGAGATCGTAATCCAGGTCGCAGTTACTGCTGCAGGAGAGGGAGAGGAGAACAAAAGTCACTTGCTCTGCAGGGCCATGGGTGCTGTAGAGCAGCCACTTCTAACAGGGGCACCCACCCACCTCCATCCCCATCCCTAGGGAGCATCCTGGAGGATACCACACAAGCTGCAGCACACCCCGGGGACTCCTGGCTGTGCCCTGGAGGGGTTTGGCCTAGAGACAAACCAGAGTGTTTGTGGGGATGGAGGGAGCCCCCGAGGCAGAGCCAGCAGGCTCTGCTCTCAGGAAGCTGCATTCCGAGCCCCCTGATGTTACATTTCATGATCCAGGGCTCTGCGTGCTGCCGGCTTGCTGAGCTCCAGATTAAGAAGGGATCTGTCAAGGGAGAGCCTCCAATGCGGGCAGCTGACGTGCCGGTAATGAATCATGCACCGTGGACCAGGAGCAGCGGGGAGCAGGAGGAAAGATGCTGAAGCTCATTTTGCTGCTTCAGCTCTCCCAGAGTCATGAGGCGTGGGATTAAGCCAAACTCAAGGGGAGACAAAGCACCCAGCTAGGGACACAGCAAGGGTTCTTCCTGGCTCAGCTCATGCCTCAAAGCATCCACTGAAAAGAGCCAAAGCAGCGGCTGCCATGCCCTGGGGCCGAAGGGACCATCGGTCCCTGTCCTGCCCGTTCTGCATCCCTGTGGCACCATGGCAACAGGCAGAGCAATTAGTTCAATCAGGGCTTCACAAAAAGCTCGAATGAGACAGAGACCAGCTCCCTCTCCTCCTCACCACGCGCCTGCCAAGCCAGGGAGCTGAAAGCCCACAGGAATGGGGACTGATCTGCTACCACCACCATCATCTACTGCCATCACCAGGGCCACTGCCACCACTGTGTGCTTCTGCAGGGGTGTCTGTCCCCTGAGGAACAGCACTGAAAGGCCAGAACTACACCAGCATCAACATTTGTAATGTGTGGAGACCATGGGCACTTCTCCCGGCACCTTCAGATGGGGAAGAGGGACCTCTATATCCCATGGATGGCAACCAGCAAAGGCTTCAGCCACCACCAGTGTGTCCAGGCCCCATCAGGATGAGGCAGAGACATCCTGCAGACCCGTGTCCACCACCACATACAGGCTGGGTTTGGAGTGATCAAGAACAGGGGAGGAAGAGGAGCAGGATGGGACAGACCCCAGCCCTTGCACTCACTGGTACAGGCTGCTGCCATGCTGCCGCTTCTGGCCCAGCCTGGCCCGGCTTGGCTTGGGCTCTCTGGCCATGTCCAGATCTGAGGAAAGACAAAAGAGCAGGATGACCAGTGGGAAGAAAAATGATGTCAACACCCTACCCCACACTGGCTTCATGAGCTACACTCCTTTCCCAGCTGGAGATGTCCCACTCCAGAGCATGAACCACTGTGTGCAGTTCTTGTGTCCTCAGTGTAAGAAGGACATGGAGCTGCTGGAGGAAGTCCAGAGGAGGGCCACAAGGATGATCAAGGGCAGGAACACCTCCCGTATGAAGACAGGCTGAGAGAGTTGGGGCTGTTCAGCCTGGATAACAGAAGCTGCATGGGAACCTCATAGCGGCCTTCCAGTATCTGAAGGGGGCCTACAAGGATGCTGGAGAGGGACTCTTCATCAGGGACTATAGAGATAGGACAAGGAGCAATGGGTTTAAACTGAGACAGGGAAGATTAAGGTTAGATACAAGGAAGAAGTTCTTCCCTGTGAGGGTGCTGAGGCGGTGGCACAGGTTGCCCAGAGAAGCTGTGGCTGCCCCATCCCTGGCAGTGTTCAAGGCCAGGCTGGAAGGGGCTTGTAGCAACCTGGTCTAAGGAAAGGTGTCCTTGCCCATGGCAGGGGGTTGAAACTGGATGAGCTTCCAACCCAAACCATTCTGTGATTCTGTGATCTGCAGGATGAGCTAGAAGATGTCAGTTCTTTCTAGATTTAAGTTTTTGTGGAGGATAGGAGTGGCCCAGGGTTGTGTCAGGACATGGAGCAGCTCTGGCTGTCCCTGCAGCAGCCCCATCCCCAGGAGCCTGCACCCATCACAGCTCCAATCAGAGCTGCAGAAAACACCTCTGGTGTTTCCCACCACCACCACCGTGGTGAATCTGCTTTTCCAATTGCTTTCTGGGTGGTTGGGCCATGTTTCCAGGAGCCTCAGGATGCTGGTGAGCTCTGCCCACCACGGATGGGTGCCAGGGATGGAGGGAGCCCCGCTCCCAGCTGCATCCCACTCCCAAAGACTGCCAGGACATCTATGATGCCGAGATGCAGATGATGTCTCCAGACATGCACATCACACCTCCCCAGTGATGCTCTTCACACCTTCTCTGGGATTTCACAGCCATCACCAATATAAGCTGCAACAGGGAGGTTTAGACTGGATGTTAGGAACAGTTTCTCCCCAGAAGAGTGCTCAGGCATTGGAACAGGCTGCCCAGGGCAGTGGTGGAATCACCATCCCTGGAAGTGTTCACAAACTGTGTAGATGAGGCCCTCAGTGACGTGGTTCAGTGGTGGCCTTGGCAGTGCTGGGGAACAGTTGGACTTGATAATCTTGAAGGTCTTTTCCAACCTGGCTGATCCTATGATAAAAGCCAGCTTTAATCTATTTTCTGAGTATACATTTAAGAGCCACCTCAAGAAATGCTTTGCTAACATCTCCACATACTTAATTATTTGGGGGGCTCAAAAACATCTCTGACCTCTGGGGTATGAGACAGTGGGTAAGATGCTGAGGGCTCCCTCTTGCACACTCCCCCTTGGCCACGGTATGTGCGAGGCACCACTGACAGTGCAGATACCGCTGCACCAGGAACCCCGAGCTGAAGCTTCTTGGGTCCTCTGGGAACACACCAGCTCCTCAGAGAGCTCTAGACTGCCCCAGGAGCATGCACACTGGCCACGGGTCCTCTCAAGCCCTGCATCTGTCGGAGCAAAATCCCTCCAATCCCTGCTGAGGAGTGGGCTTCCAAGCTGTAAGAAGCTGGCACTTGTGTGCTTTCCAGGTCTGTGGTGAGAACCCACAGCCAGTCCCACACCCCAGCCCCTGCGTGCCCTCCAGAGACACCGCACGCCTTGATACCCATGTCTGTGCCTTTTGTGATGAGGTCTGGGGGCCAGCTCTGCTCTGGGGTGAGCTGGGGAAGGTGCTCCATTTACCCTGTAATGCTGGCACCCATTTCTGTCCCCAGCACCCCAGGGAGGCGAAGCTTGCTGCTGGTGACACCCCTCTCTACAGCCCATCGCATCCATCCAGCAGAACCCCCTGCTCCCCTCCCTGCCAGTGTGACAGAGAGCTCAGCACCCCAGCCAGGGACCCCAGGGACACTGGCACAGGCCACCTGCACAGAGGGCGCTGTCCTGCTGGGGCAGGGGACCTGGGACAACAGGGCTTCGTCACCCCAGGGGCGTGGGCCTGTGTCTGGGCTCCTTTCACTGTAGTGGCAGAGGGACATTCTGCTACTGGGAGGACATCCCTGTCCTGGGAGGGAATGGTGTCAGGGTCATCCCGGCACTGGGAGGACATCCCTGTCCTGGGAGTAATGGCACGGGGAAGACTAAGCATGCCGGTACCGGGAGGATATCCCAGCCCAGGGGAGGTACTGGTACCTGGGTGGAGGCTGCTTGGTACCCGGAGGAGGCGCGTGTCCGCGAAAAGGGACCCCGGCACCGGCCATGGCCCTGCCCGGAGGAGGGCTGTGGGCTGGGGGGACGAACGTGCAGCAGGAGATTGGCTGCGGGGCGACACCCCTGCTCCGGGCTGGGCTGCCGGCGAGCATGCCGGTGCCGGAGCATCCCACGGGAAGGGGTGTGTGAATAGGGCCGGTGCCGGGGGCGTCACCCGGCGGAGGGGGTGCAGGGCCGGCTCTGGGTCGGTACTCACATCTCCAGCCCGCGTCCCCGCTGCCGAAAAGGGTCATCCCCCCGTGGACCCGGTACCGGCACCGGACTGAGCTCGCCGCCACCGAGCGGGCCCTACCACCTCCGGGGGCGGGCAGGGGGACGCGGGCCGCACCACCCCGACACGGCGGGGTAGGGGAAAGGGGAGGAGACCACGCCCCACCCCTTGCGCAGCGATGCTTTGTTGCAGCACCGCGCCTCTCCGTCCCCATCCTCACATCCATCCTCATCCCCATCTTCACCCTCATCCTCGTCTTCATCCTCCTTCTCATCCCATCCCCGTTCCTGTCCCCATCCTCACCCTCATCCCCTCATTATCCCCATCCTCATCCCCATCCTCGACCCTCTCCTTATCCCCATTTCACCCCCCTCCTAATCCCCATCCACATCCTGTCCTTACCCCTATCCACGTTCCTGACCCCATCCCTGTCCCCATCCCCATCCTTACGATCCTCATTCCCATCCCATCCTCATCCCCTCCTCATCCCTATTCCCATCCCCACCCTCAGTCCATCCCTGACCCCACTCCATCCCTGTCCTTGTCCCCATCCCTGGCTCCATCCTTCCCTGACCCTGGCCCTGTCCTCATCCCCATCCTCCCTGGGCTCTTTACCCCACCTGGGACCTCCAGCCCCCTCTGACATGCTGGACTCTTGCCCTCCTGGCTCAGTTGTACCCAGCTTTGACCGGCTCCCTCCAGCCTTACAGATGGTGATGAGGCTCGTCCCCTTCAACAACACCCACCAGCACCAGGGGAACACACTTTGGGCCAGCATATGGGGTGCTGCAGCCTGGGGCTGGAAGAAACAGCTCTTGACTAACTCCACCCCCAAAACACCTCCAAGGTGCTGGAGACATGAGCCCAGCCAAGAAGAGCTGGTCTATGCTCCTCCATCCTCCAGCTCCATTCATCCACAGGTGGAACTAGAGATACCACCCTGTGCAGGCAGGATGTGGGCTGTCGTAGACAGAGAGACTGGTGGATCTGGGACAAGAGAAGAAGACAAACTGCTCTTCCCAAAGAAGAGGTCTTTATTAACCACGCAAGTGATGGTGAGGAACTGGGTGATAATGAAAGACAAGATCATGACCAGGAACCTGCGGTGTCAGGCTGGGGCGGCTCCCAGTGTGAGAGCTGAGCCAGTCCCCACCCTGAGACATGCTGAGGTTTGTGCCCACTAAGAATTCCCCCCTTGGCCCCTTATGGCATTTGCACCAAGGTTTGGACATGTCCTGGCTACCAACTGAGAAGAAGGATGCTGTTGGACCTGGTATCTCCCTGCCCACAGGGCATTCACAGCGTGATGGCAACAGGAAGGTGAGGGGGAGAAGACAATGTAGTTTTGGGAACGCTGATGTAAAGTGGATACACTAGGTCCCGTCAGTCCCCCATCTCCTGTGCGGGGGAGCCAGAAAGGGGGCCTTCATGGCCTGGGCTTGGCACAGGACTGGGGTCATCCTGAGCCACGGGCTCAGTACAGCAGCCAGCGCTGGCCAGGGCCTGGAGCTGCTGGCTCAGGGGTCTTGCTGCCACAGGGAGATGTGCTCCTGAGCTGTGATGGGGTATCAGTCAGTGTCCCTCACACCAGGAAGGACTCAGAGGTGTGAGCAGGGCTGGTAGCAGGGAACAGACCCTGCAGAGCCAGGAGCCTGCACCCCTGGGGCTCAGCACCCAGGAAAGGTGCAGGAGGGCTTCTAGCCACTCACTCACCGAACTGGCAGATGTACCGGTTCCGGGTCTTGCAGCGCTGGTCATTCCAGTTGAAGGCAGCCAATGCTTGCATCTCCACACAGTTCCCGAACCTGTGTCCACATGTGCATGGGGAGGAGGTGTGTGTGAAGCCAGCCACCACGGTGGCACGATGGTGACACCACACAGAAGTCTGGTGTCCTGCAGGTCTAACAGGAACTTACCCTTGGTTGTCTGGCTGCCCGAAAGCGAAGCTGGTGAAGGAGGACGGCTCACCCACGTTCCAGCGGAAGGAAGCCTTAGACGTCTTGTAGGTGAGGCCTGGAGGAGCAGGAGGTGGGGTGGCACATCCACCAGGACCCCATGTACCCTGCACCCTGCCCACTGCCATCACTTACCAATCCAGAAGTTCCCAGTCTCAAAATCAGTGTCTGTCACCCTGTTACCGGTCTGTAAGCGGCTGAGGTAGAAAGCCAGGATGTCCTGGACCTTCTGGTTTCTGATCTGGGCCAACATCGCCCCTTTCTCCTGCAGGGAAGGGAGCAAGTCAGCCCCAGACACATGGCCCAGGCAGTGGAAAGGTTCATGGGAGCTGTGAGCTTGATGGCATTGTTCAGCTGGTGCATCCCAGGGACTCACTTGGCACTTTAGTTTGGCTCCGTAATAGGTGTCAGCCTCAGAGGACACCATGAAACAGTCGCCATCTATCTGCACGTCACAGGCGTGGAAGGGGAACTGAATCTTTGCTGGGGACACAGGCAGAAGGTGGGTCCCTGTGCCAGTGGCCCTGCCAGAGGACCCATAGCCTGCTCCGGGGGTCCCAGCCTGCAGATCCCTGCTGCCACCCCACAGCATAGACTCACTGCCGCACTCAGCACCGCCATAGCCCACATCGCAGAGACAGGAGCATTCCTCCTTCCTGAACTTGCCGTGGAGGCACTGCCTGCTGCACCTCACTGCAGGAGAAGAGCTGTGCTAGCTGGTGGGGGCTCAGCAGCCCCTGCCTATCCCAGCTGAGCTTGCTCTGCACAGCAGATGCTGCACTGAGCTGAGCCAGTGCATGTTTGTGCTGCACAATTGTGTAACTGTGGGCACCAAGCAGACTATGACTGCTGTGCTGGCCACAAAATCCTGGACTGGTTTGGGCTGGAAGGGGCCTCAAAGCTCATCCAGTTCCAACCCCCTGTCATGGACAGGGACACCTTCCACTAGACCAGGTTGCTCCAAGCCCTGTCCAACCTGGTCTTGAACACTGCCAGGGATGGGGCAGCCACAGCCTCTCTGGGCAACCTGTGCCAGGGCCTCACCATCTTCACAGGAAAGAATTTCTTCCCATGATCTCATCTCAGTGTCCCCTCTGTCAGGTTAAAGCCATTCCCCTTGTGCTGTCCCTACAGGCCCTTGTCCAAAGCCTCCCTCCAGATTTCTTGTAGCCCCTTTAGGCACTGGAGCTGCTCTAAGGTCTCCCCTTAAGGCGTGTTCTGTTCTCCAGGCTGAACAAGCCCAGCTCTCTCAGCCTGTCTCCAGAAGAGCTGCTCCAGCCCTCAGATCATGCCCATGCCCTGCACTGACACTGCACACACACGCACTGCACCCACCCTGTGCACACATGCTCTGCACTGGCCATACACGTGTTTCTAAGGCGAGGGAAGGCAGGGGTTGTGCGGGCGCCTCTCTCACCTTGGCAGTACCTTCCCGTGTATCCCGAGGGACAGGCGCACTGGCAGCTGCCCACGTCAAGGCGCCCATTGTTTCTGCAGCTCATCCGACAAGGGTTCCTGGGCACCTCTGGGCATGGCACAGACATGAGTATCAAGGCGTGAGGTGTCTCTGGAGGGCACGCAGGGGCTGGGGTGTGGGACCGGCAGCGGGTTCTCACCACAGAGCCCGCCGCTGTGGTCCCAGGACTTGAAGCATCCGGAGAAGCCGGCGGTGCAGAGGGAGCACCAGGGGCCCTGCTTGTAGGGCAGGACGGGCGTCCCCGACACCTCCCAGTTGCCCCTATCCCCGCAGGCAGGTGGAGCAGCGCTCGCCACGACAAGCCGCGCTCCTTTCCGGACTAAACCACGCTCACAGACACCAAGAGACGCCCCCACCAGGGCAAACCCTGACCACGCCCACTCCCTAAAACCCCACGCCCACTCCGTCAACCAATACCCCTTTATGGCAAAGACCACGCCCACAACCCAAGCAAGCTCCGCCCGCACAGCCAAGTAACGCCCACCTCCGACGCAAGGTCACGCCCCCGCCAATCCCCGTGCATCCCCATTGGCCAGCCTATCCCTCCACCCGCCACACCCCGAGGAGGCCCCGCCCCCAGCGGCACCGTCCCGCCTCCTTCCCCCTCTGCCCGCCGCTCCCGCTGGCCGCGCGGCCTCGTTCACCGCGGTGCGTGCCCCCGCACTTTCCCGCGCTCAGCGCTTACCCTGGGGAGTAGGCGCAGGCGAAGGCCTCGCTGGGGCCGTGCCCGCCGGCACAGAGGCAGCGGCCGCAGCCCAGCCGCCCCGCTGTTGCCCACACCAGCTACGGGACAGGGGTGTCACCCCGGTTCAGCAGCCTCCGGACCCCCCCCCACGTTCCCGCGCCCACCTGGGTGTAATGGTGGCAGGTGGCATTGCGGGCGCAGCGCCCCGTCCCGTAGTCGTAGCGTTGGCCCTCGGCGAACCAGCGCTCCAGCACGACCCCGAAGCCGCCGGTGGCCACCGGCAGCAGCACCTCGCTCCAACCCAGCTGCGGCGCCGGCGGCGGAGCGGGGCCTTGCAGGCAGCTGGCTGCCCGCTCCCCTGCCAGCCGGGCCAGCTCCTCGTCCCACTCCTGCATGGGGGAGCGTGAGCCACTGAGGTCCCCAGGGACGGGCCCAGTGTGTGGGGGAAGCTGCGGGACAGCCCAGCGGGTGTCTGGGGACCACCAAGGGTGTTAATGCTGGGGATCGCTGAGGGACATCAGGAGGTTGAACATGGGGGATGCTGCGAGGGGACTCCAGGGGACCAGCCCTGCCGTTGGTATATGCAGGTGTGGAGTGACTGGGAAACATCAAGGACCATCGTCGGACACGGAGAACACTCCAGGGAACCAGCCGTTCCCTTGGTGTGTGTAGGCGTGAGATGACTAAGGGACTCTGAGGGCCATTATGGGACATGGGGGACCCCATAGGGACCCCAAGGCACCAGCTCTGTCTTTGGTTTGCACCAGCTCTGGCAGGGCCAGGGGCCAGCCCCACGCTGGCCAGCTCTTCTGCTCTGTTAGCTTGTTAACGAGCTACTGCATAGCACCCATGGGCTGCCCCCCTCCCTGGGAATGCTGTGGGAGGTGGATGGGGACATCCAAGGGGGAGACACATGCCTGTGGGGGGG